GTGAACCAGATGGGTTTTTCTGACAATTGGCAATGGATTCATGGTCAGCGTTAGATTCTTAATTCCAGATATTTATTGAATTCAACTTCCATCATCTGCCATTTTGGGATTCGAACCTGGTCCCCAGAATGTTATCTGGGTCTCTGGATTAACTGTCCAGCAATAATACCACTAAGCCATTACCCCCCTTTTCAACATGCTGCTCCAGCAATTCATCCTCCCAGCTTTAGTGCTGATTTAGTTTATTAGCATTTTTGTGACATCAATCGCCAATTGGCTGAATCTACTGTGCCTAGCATTATTACTGTTTTTTGGTGGCTTATAAACAACTCTGACCAATGTTTGCTGGCCCTTGCTGTTCTTCCACTCCATCTTAACTGATTGATTGTACATCTTGACCCTTTGATCTTAGATCCTGTCTCACTAATCTATGATGCTTTTTATTAAGAATATCACCTTATCTCCTTTAACATTTTGCCTATCCTTTCTAAATGACAATTATCTTTGAATATTTAGTTTGCAGTCTTGATCAGCATGTAACCACATGTCTGTGATAGCATTTAAATGCTATCTACATGTCTCAGTTTGTGTCTTCAAATCATCAATGTTGTTGCAAATGGTGCAACCATCCAGGTGGATTGCCTTTAATTCTGATTCTATCTGATGTTTGCCTTTACTTCATCTGTCTTCTAATTTCACTTACTCCCTTCCTACTTCCTGCCATTTGTTTTGCTTCCCTCCAATCTGAGCTCCTTCTTTTCCATCCTCTTGCCAATTCTGTTTTAATCCTCTTCAACAGTGTGGTAAATCTTCCTGCAAAAATGTTGGTTCTGGTTCTGCTAAAGTGCAACTCAGCATCTTGTACAGGTTCCACTGCTTCAAATCTGATGTCCACTCCAGTACTCGAAGCACAAGTCAAAATTGCTCAGTTTTCTCATTCCTATGCTAGCTAGCACGTAGGACAGAGAGTAATCCTGATGTTACTGCTTTGGAGGTCTATCTTGTTAATCTCCTTCATAATTCCTGAAAAATAAATGCTTTCAGAATCTCATCCTTTTCTTACCTAATATCATTGGTGCCAAAGTGAACCAAAAAATATGGCTGTTCAGTTTCCCTCAGAACAATATCCTGAAACTACAATGCCTGTCTGTTTCCCATAACTAAAAATAACTTCTATCACCATTGCTTTTTCCTTTTTTCCCTCTTCTCCTTTTGAGTCAGGTATTGTTCCAACAGTGAAAGTTTTCCCTCTGATTTGCATTGACTCCAGTTTTGCTCGGGCTCCCTGTAGTCTCACTTGGTCACATGCAGCTCTGGTGTCAGGGTCTGTCATTTTCACCTCACCTCTGGCATTGAGCTCCTTTGTCCATGTTTGAACCAAGGCTGAAATAAGGTTAGGAGCTGAGTGGTTCTGGCAAAACTCATTGAGCAGGTTATTGCTGAGCGGGTGCTGCTTGAGAGCATCTGATGACGCTTTCCATAACTTTACTGATAATTGAGAGTACAATGTTGGGGCAGTAATGGGTTGTGTTGGATTTGTCCTGCTTTTTGTGTAGAGGACATAGCTGAGCAATTTTCTAGTTTTGTTTTCGTTTGTTCATTAGATGTAGATGTCACCGGCTAGCCCAGTATTTATTGTCCATCATTAATTTCTCCTAGATCTGAGTGGCTTTGTAGCGCCATTTTAGAGGACAATTTCAGAATCAACCACATTAATGTGGGTCTGGAGTCACATGTAGGCTGGACCAGGTCTGTATGGTAGGTTGGTGAACTAGATGGGTTTTTATGATCAACAGTGGTTATGTGGTTGCCATTAGGGTTCTGGATTTATTGAATTCAAATTTCATCATCTGGCATGGAAGGATTTGAATCTGTGTCACCAGACCATTACCCTAGGGTTCTGGATTACCAGCCCAATGACATGACAGCACGACTGCCTCCCCATTGTGTGGTGGATACCAGTGTTGTAGCTGTGCTGGAGCAGCTTGGCCAGCAGCTCAGCAAGTTTTGGAGCGCAAGTCTTCAGTACTGTTGCTGGAATGTTGTCAGGACCTTTCCAAAATCCAGTGCCTCCAGCCTTGTTTTGATATCACTTAATGAAACGAATTGGCTGAAGACTGGCATCCGTGATGCTGGGGACCTCTGTAGGAGGCTGAGCTGGATCATCTGTTTGGTACTTCTGGCTGAACATTATAGTGAATGCTTCAGCCTAAGCATTTGCACTGATGTGCTG